GTGCGTAAGGATTTGCAACCGTTACAGACAATGTCAACATGATAATGTTTCCGAGCACGAGTAAAACACTATTGCCCAAGGCAATGACCTATACCATATAAGATTGACCTATACCATACAAGATTACATATACTATTGACCTATACCATACAAGACATGTCTCACAGGAACAACATTGATCGCTTTTTCCACATGGCGTTTTATCAAAATTTTCTTTTTTCCATTGTTCTAGTTCTTGAATGTAACGGAAAATCACACCACAGTTAGCAAAAATTGCTATATATTTCACCTTATTACACGTGCCCTGCTTTTTCAGTTGAGAAGTCGCTCTGAAGTTTACTATTACTGAAGGGAGAACGATAAAAATAAGCGTGATGAAAAACCACCAAAAGTCTCCATTTATCCCATGCTGAAGACACACAAAGCAATCAGAAACGAAATCAAACACATACAGCGCCAGTCCAGCAACCAGAAACAATAATTGCACCGTTTTTCTCATCTTTGGACTCGCCAAAAAGCCTAAAAATCAATGGATTAAGTTGTACATGTAGTAAATAGTATTTACAGTATGAGCGGCCTCGAATCGCCTTGACAACACGTATACAACACAGCTGCAAATCGCCTTGACAACAACAACCTCATGCAGGGCCGTAGCGAAGGGGGGTATTGGGGGGGGGGGGTTGTTTATTATATCGTATTTTGAGGTCGACGGTTAGCTTTTCAAAGTTAGGGCAATTTGTGCATGAAAATTAAAGCATGCATGAATAAGCTACTTAAGCTGTCGAAAACTCGTAGAACTTATCAGTACAAACGAATTGCAACAAAGGTTTGAGGAGCCGATATCAGGATGTGTTTTTACTGCTTGTTCCCGGCCCAGTTGTTGTGACAAGTCTGGAACAGGTTGTTATCAACCTGTTACAAGGTTGATGACGGTAACAGACTTGCTACGAGTTGTTCCAACAAGACTCAGTATACAGCAGAGTTGTTAACGAGTCCAATGTTGCAAGTCCAAGTCAAGTCACAAGTCATTTGGTCTGAGTTCAAGTCACAAGTCATTTTGTCTAAATCCAAGTCAAGTCAAGTCACAAGTCATTCCGAGTGGCAAGTCAATTCAAGTCAAGTCACAAGTAATTTTATCGCCACATGTGGCCATGTTTTCCCACGCAAAACGGCAAAATATGTAACTATGGCGTCGTTATTTTATGGCAGAAATTTTACCACGAAATCGCGAAAAAACCCCGCTTTGTCAGAAAATGCGCCGGCACAAATTCTGTCGATGCCATTGATATGTACTAAGGTCGTTTCCCAAATTGTACAACACGACGATCGATCGATCAACACAAAGATTTTGGAAAACTTGATTTTCTCTAGATATTTACGTTTGACTTGCGTTGGTAACAATTAGTCATTTCTTGCAAGTCCAAGTCAAGTCACAAGTCATTTTGTCCAAGTCCAAGTCAAGTCACAAGTCATCAGTCTCTTTAACAAGTCAAGTCACAAGTCACAAAAATTGCGACTCGAGTCCAACTCGAGTCCAAGTCACACGACTCGAGTCTACAACTCTGGTATACAGGCTGTTCGTAACAAGTTGCTACGAGCTTATTGTTACTGACAACTTGTTACGGGCAGACGATATCAGGCTTGTTGGAACAACTTGTTGCGAGTCTGTTGGCCTCATCAACCTTATTACAAGATGATAACAACTTGTTGCAGACTTGTCAACAACTGGAAACAAGCGTATTGTTGATATGAGATTTTTACGCTTTTACGATAGTCGGCCAGCTTATGAGTTATGCTTTCGATGTATATACGTTAAATGAAACAGGAAATAAAATGATATTTCAGCAGCTAACTAGGGATCGGCCAAATATAATCGTAGCCCTACTCTTGGATTAACAACAATTCCAAACTAATTCTTACCTTGAAACAGTCGCATTTACCACCAACGAAAAACTTGCTCTGTTTTGTCGCAGCTGAAGCAGCAGTGATATATGTAAACATATAATTTCATCGCACACTATATATAATTGCTCCAAGAACACTATTTTAAATAATTACATAAACTGTCAAACATCTACTAGATAACGAATTAAAACCCAAATCTTCTGCGTCACAAATTTTGTAACGAAATTTGACAAGGACCACGATTATAGCTACAGCCGTTTACAAAAGAGGAAACCGAGGCATTGTAAGTCGCTGAGGGGAAGATATACGATAAAATAAAGGTATAAAATACCAAGAAATAGGCAGGAAATCACTGTTCAGTATGATAAAAAACAGGTTTTTCCCCTAGTTTGAAATTTTGTCAATGGAGCACATTCCAGCATAAGTGATTTTAAGGATGCATGCATGAACACAGACAACATTTTTTTTTTTTGTAATTGCTGTCTGCTGATATGAGAAAAATGAAAATTGTTTACTGAATTAACTAACTATATTTCTACTCAATGGCTCTATGAATTCTAAACTGTTTTCTTCCTAGAAAGTAGATATATAGTAGTCTTTTTATTCTGTATTGCTATAGGAGGAAACCTAAACCGAACTAACTTTACAATAAACTGTTTCTGATTAAACTGACTTAGCCAGTGACAATGGGGCAGTACAAAGCTATTGCAATTAAGGTTGTCATAGCGAATAATTGTACATTCCAAGGGCGAACAGCAAGATGGGTATGTCAAATTTTAATATTTTAAGCTGTTTAAAGCCTGTCGAACACGAGAGAACGTTACTGAGCGGTTAGCCTCGCATGGCAGGTAGCTCAGCAACCAAAGAAAAATAAAGAAAATCTGTGAAAAAGTTTTCAAATACATTGAATCTCTCTTCCAAATGGGAGAAACTTAATTTTTATTGGTATTTCCCTTCAATTGAAATAGCTGTAAACACAATATCGATGAAACAATAAACTGTTATGGATGGGGTGAGCCTAGCTTCTCCCCTGCTTCTAAAGGCCATGTATCTCTTATTGTGATCTTTTAATTGATTATTCACCCCGACTTTAATTAATCTACATTGTCTGCCGGTTAAGTCTAGAATAGACTTTAGGGGCGGACCATTTGACTTTTGAGGGGGGGGGGGGGTGGAAGATTTCGAAAAAAATTTCCTGCAATCCAAGGAGAAAGAAAAAAAAAATCATGCAGCACACAATCGAGAAAAAAAATATCATGCAAAAGAGAGCGCTCAAAAAAAAATTTTCTACATGTAACTCTACTGATGCTCTTCACTTGAGTATTGTGTCCACAGGCTTGCAAGATTTTGCATTTTTGAGCAGGCACATTTGCTTAAAAGAACACGGGGTGAACAGTGGATAACATCACAGGGATTCTACCGCTTTTGGAGCCTCTGACATACGATAGCCAGTGGTGTTCCCTGGCAAAATTGTTGCCCTCCCCCTGAGAAAATCTGGGCTTAAGATAATTATCCATGGCTGAAAACGCAGGAAATAGCATTTCCGAGGTTCAAATTTTAAAATTTTCTCGGGGGAGCATGCCCCCAAACCCCCCAAGGTTACAGGTCATTCATATACTGTACCCTCCCCCATTTTCGAGTACTCTACTCTATCCCTGCATGTTTTAGGTTTTGGTGCAGTTATACATTCTTTGCAAGTAAACTTGCACGCTTTAGTGTGGGGAACATTAAGACATAACCATATATAAAATAAAGCACAGTGAAAATTCCTTGGCCCCTCTTGGGATTCAGTTCTCGGCCTCCTCTGACTGAAAAACCCTGCTACGTCTCCGATGATAGCTATATGAAAGCCTAAAGTTACTGTAAGCCGTTATTATGAGAGGCAAAAAAATATCCTGCGGCCAAATATATTGGGAAAAAAATATCTTGCGCTGCACTTTTACAGGAAAAAAATATCTGTCTCGTTCGCCTGGGCGGAAAAAAAATTCTTGCACAGACTAAATCTTCCACCCCCCCCCCCTCAAAAATCAAATGGTCCGCCCTTTAAACTGCTATTGATAGTTTTTAAGGAATTGCCTGGGCTGGCACCTGATTAAGTATGCATCTATAGTTATAATATTAGATCAAACAAAGAACTTCTTCTTAAGCCACCTTCTGTGAAGACTTTGGCCACGTTAGATAATCGATCATTTGGCTGTGCAGCACCCATGCTTTGGAACTCCTTACCTTCGTACATCCGAGAGGCTAGCTCAGACTTTTAAAGACATACTTATTTAGCAAAGCCTATACATACATGTGAATAAAGTTCGTAATTTAGGTTAATTTTTAAAGACATTATTTTAACTAAATAATTTGAATTCATTTTAAAGGCACAGTTCAGCCTGTTGAACGATGGTTTTTAAGGCGCATTTCAGCCCTTATAATTGAAAAAACTAACTAGGAAAATCAATTAAGCATAATTCAAGATCGCCAAACTTAATGTTTTTAACATTTTAAAACATTTATATTGTTAAAAACATCGAGTTTACTGATTTTGAATTATGCTTAATTGATTTTCCTAGTTAGTTTTTTCAATTATAAGGGCTGAAATGCGCCTTAAAAACCATCGTTCAACAGGCTGAACTGTGCCTTTAAATTTTAATGTATCAAATTGTTATGTTCATATGAACATATGCCAAAAGGAACATGCGCGCTATAAATGTAATTATTATTATTATTATTGTTATTATTTGAGCAATTGTTTAAATGATGAGACATTGGAAAAGCCATGTACAGAAGCTGTTTTGCCAAAAGTGTTCCAGAGTTTGACAAACCGGTTATAAAAAGATGCCTGGAAAGTGTTTGTCTTAGACGTTTTTGGGGATGGTCATTATTTATGGCTGCAGGGGGTAGCTCCCTTGTGTCCGCGAATACCGCCTGCTACTCGGGCTAGGCGGGGGGGGGGGGGGTGGCACCGAAAAAAGGGGTTGGGTCATATGTCAATATATACAATATGTAAATTAATCAGAGTCACTATCTTGATCATTTTCCGATTTGTTAGGGGGTAAATGGTGTATCCAAAGAAAGTACATATGCAGACAACATGAAACTTTAGACTGCAGAAAATTCGTCTCACAGAAGTGGTAAAGGACATGTGTGACAACTGAATGAGTATTTATTTTTTAATTGATATTTGAAGTTGGGTAAAATTTTTTTGACTTTTTAATGGTTGAGTCAGGAAAATATTTACCACGAAAACCATTTCTCTTCAGTGCCATTAACCCCTGCCATAAATAATGACCCTTAAGACTTAACGGGAAATGGCAATATAATTTTTCATTTTCTTATTTGAAAGAACTTTTGGAACTATATTTAACTTCTTTTACCCATTTTTCATATCTTGCTTAGTTCTTGAAATATTTTCACTTGAAGTAATGAGATGTCCGCCATCTTGGATAAATTTTTTGACGTTAATGAACGGTAGTTTTGGTGACGTCACAACAGGGATTAACCATATAAATGTATTCGTTGCTGACCAAATATTGATTGGTAGATGTTTTAAATGTTTTGAGTGGTCTTGATATTTGGAAGGGCAGACAAAGTATAGTTTTGAGGGCAAAATGATTAGTGGTTGTCTAGATAAAAATATTGTGACGTGACATGCATATCTATAAGAAATGAGAATGCCGGACATTTCATTCCTTTCGATTAAAATATTTGCAGAAGTAACAAGATATAAAAAAACCCCGATAAAAGAGCATTTGCAGTATACAATCTTAAATGTTCTTTCAAATGAGAGAATAAAAAAATATATTGCTATTTCCCTTTAAAAGTAAATTAACATGCTTCTTCTTGAAATGCATTATTCACCACGGATAAAACGTTGTCCATTTGATCATTGTTCGTTTCTGGAAAGCAACATTTGTCATACGCCAGGAAGAAGATACTTGATATTAATAATCCGCCAACTACCAACGAGATAGCAACTGGTTTCAATATCTCCATATATGGTGCGTAAGGATTTGCAACCGTTACAGACAATGTCAACATGATAATGTTTCCGAGCGCGAGTAAAACATTGCCCAAGGCCATATGGCGTTTGTGATTTTTAAATTCGAATGTAGCGATTTGGGATTCTGAAGAGTGAAACATAACAGGATAGCATAGCACCCATACGCCAAAGAAGAGCAATCCTGGATTATCAGGTTGGCTGTAGACGTTTCCTCTGTTTACAACGCTAACCACCACAGCTAAAAGCAACCAATTGATTGCAAAGAAAATGATCACGTAATATCTATGGACATAAGCGAGTATAACGATTGCGGATAAACGCGATATCAGCGAAGCAAGTTGCCAAATTAGGAACGACACTGTGGTAATTAATTTAAAATTGCGATTTTCTTTCGTTTCTCTCGTTTTCTCGAGCATCGTGATACTCCAAGCTAAGGACAAGAGCGAGAGCACAATTGAGACCACAGTGTACCATGGGAAATACCACTGACGTAACATGATGTATGTTTGGAGACACCATTGCGGCGCGCACTCTGTAATCGTTTCCAGATAACGTAGCTTTGCCATTGAATAGGTAGACTCCAATGACTTCTCCTTTTGCAAAGTATACCATGGAAGACACGTCTTACAGGGACAACATTGATCGCTTTTTCCACATGGCGTTTTATCAAAATTTTCTTTTTTCCATTGTTCTAGTTCTTGAATGTAACGGAAAATCACACCACAGTTAGCAAAAATTGCTATATATTTCACCTTATTACACGTGCCCTGCTTTTTCAGTTGAGAAGTCGCTCTGACGTTTACTATTACTGAAGGGACAACGATAAAAATAAGAGTGATGAAAAACCACCAAAAGTCTCCATTTATCCCATGCTGAAGACAGACAAAGCAATCAGAAACGAAATCAAATACATACAATCCCAGACCAACAATCAGAAACAATAATTGCACCGTTTTTCTCATCTTTGGACGCGCCAAAAAACCTAAAAGTCAATGGATTACTGTCGATCAAATGGAAGTGTTGATAAAATATTGCACTAACTCCTTTCCTGAAGTTGATCAATTCATTTGATATAAAATTGATCAACTTCCTGTTACTTTTCGACGAACCAATTAGATTTCGTTTCAGAACCGATTGACCAATAGGAAACGCACAGGAAGTAAAAAGAAATTTGAATTCGTATGAATTGATCAACTTGAGGAAATGAATTCATGCAATATTTTATCAACACTTCCATTGCATGGACAGTAAGTTGTCCATGTACTATTTACAATATGAGCGACCGAGAATCGCCTTGACAACAACCTCATGACAACAACGTGTTTGCAAATCTGTGACATCTGGCGTAGTTTTAGTTGTATGGTATGGTATGGTATGGTATGGTATAGTATGGTATGGTATGGTATGGTATGGTATGGTATGGTATGGTATGGTATGGTATGGTATGGTATGGTATGGTATGGTATGGTATGGTGTGGTATGGTATGGTATGGTATGGTATGGTATGGTATGGTATAGCCTATCGAAGGGAAGATGGCTGTGAAACTCATTAGAATAACAATATAACTCATTATCTATGTTGGTCAACGTTTATTCATAAATCTGGTCCTTCACCGTCACGTATGTATTGTATTTTTACCCAACTAACCAATAGCAATGGTTTAGGAAAGTCACCTATCCGTGACTCGAACAATAGGGAAACTGGAAATTGCTATTGGTGGATTTGGTAGAAATACAATACACACGTGACGTTGAAGGACCATATTTATGAATACACGTTGACTAACACAGATAATGAGTTATAGTGTTATTCTAACGAGTTTCACAGCCATCTCCCCTACGGTATAGCCATGATTATGGTAAAACTTTATTTAAACACGCTAGCCTCGATCAACGTGAGCTGCTTTTCATGAGGGGCGTCGCACAATCTTAACTACTTACAAATATACACATTAAACTATATACAAGTTTAAAAACTATATGGAAAAACAAGGTGGTCATCTAAAGGGTGTTGTACATGGAAATTATCGAGTAGAAATTTAGATGCATTTGTTAATGTTCAGACATACCGGACGCGATTCGACAACGCGACGCGATTTTTTAGTTTTTAAAAGTTAATAAAACAGCCAAATTAATGAGAACAAATTTTGAAAGATATGTGGACCAAATAACTCAAAATGCTATACCGCTTGTAAATATTTGGAAAATTTAAACTGGAGTCAAAGTTATTGGTCTGTCAGTGAAAATCGAAAAATCGCGTCGCGTTGTCGAATCGCGTCCGGCGTGTCTGGACCTTTAGACCTGCAGGAACAGCCAGCAGAACCAGGAACAGCTGCAAAAAATGCAACTATATACAGCATAGGTCCCTGGCAGGAATCGAATCTGCGGCCCTGCTATTCCGGTTAGTTCTAATAAATGTATATAAATTTCCACTCGATAACTGCCATCAACAAGACCCTTCAACTATTATTGAATGGCGAATGGGATGCCAACAAAATCTTGATATACATGCATGCACGTTTTTAAGCCAGGTTTTCATGTCGGGTCGTTAAAGCCTAGTTTCCATTTGGTGGTTAGTTGTCGCTGGCACGACAAGTGGCTGATGTAATAGAGTGTGAACAGAACTTTATAAAACTCTGCAATCATTAAGACTGAAATTTGCATATAACACACAAAGACTATTATTATATTAGACTATTTCACATCTCCGCTTGTCGTGCCAGCGACAACTAACGACCAAATGGAAACTAGACTTAACTGTCGCGAACTTGTTGTAAACATGAAGAAAAGCTATGTTGTGAACGTAAAGAGAAGCTATTCAAAACAGTCGTTGCTTGTGTGATGTTACTCTGAGTGTGTATCCACACCGGGCAGGCTTGAAAAATATGCCTGTCCACGGTGGGAATCGAACCTACGACCTTTGGAATACTAGCCCAATGCTCTGCCAACTGAGCTACGCGGTCAGGTCGGTTCGAGTATGCGATATTTCGGAACTGAGTCTAGTTCCTTCGATATCAGTGTAATCTAATAATCATGATATTTGCTATGTTGGTGTAATGGTACTCAGGTGAATAAGATGCTTGTGTGATGTTACTCTGAGTTCCGAAATATTGCATACTCGAACCGACCTGACCGCGTAGCTCAGTTGGCAGAGCGTTGGGCTAGTATTCCAAAGGTCGTAGGTTCGATTCCCACCGTGGCCAGGCATATTTTTCAAGCCTGCCCGGTGTGGATATACACTCAGAGTAACATCACACAAGCATCCTATTTACCTGAGACATTACACCAACACAGCAAATACTCTTACTCGTGTTTTAAATAGTTCTACATATTTTATATATACTCAAATCTGATGCACAAACTAAGCATAGTATAACTGAAATATAATACTCACAAAAAAGCTTGTCTGCTGTCCAAAACGCTGTCAAAGTACAGCAATCATTATACCATAGTTATGATTACACATACAAACTAGGGGCTGAAGACACAGCACAAAATGTGATGCATTCTTGATTTGAATACTTTTAAATAGTAAACATCGCAGTTTTCTCAGAAAGATGAAGCAAATGAAATACTTTCAGGAAGTTCTGATGACTTCTTTGATAGGCAACCCACTGTTACCGGAAAACGATGACGTAATCGATGAAATTTTGATTCGCCCACCATACATACAATATTTTTGTATACATGCATATACTGTACAACCAAACCCGAGGACGCTACTGTTATCAACAAGCTGCTACTAAATAACGAAGTGACTATCGGAATCTGCGTCATCAATTTTTTAACGAAATTTGACAAGGACAATAATTACAGTAGAACAACCCAGGGACCGCGGAGACGGGGGGGCTGGGGGGGCTTTAGCCCCCCCCCCCACTTTTTTTGACAGCCAAAATTATTAAAATAGAAATCTAAATGAAACTTTCTAAATTAATTAATTGGGGGTTTTATTGATGATTTAGCCCCCCCACTCTCTAATACGCTCCGCGGGCCCTGCACCTATGCAATTACAGCCGTTTGAGGAAGTCTGTACTCTGTAAACGGAAGATATGAATACCAAGAAATATAAACAGAAACCTGCCGACAATTTTAAAATGTTTGCGACAAAACACAATCCGCGAAGATTAGCATCTAATTGAAACTCAATGAAGACGAGTCGAATAAAGACGAGAATGAGTTTGTGAAATTTCGATTTTATTTCAAAACCATCTGTTCAGACTAAGTTACAATATTTATGTATATATGATCTTTTATACTGGTATGCCGTTATGGCATGACGTTAGTACAAATATATACAGTTCCGGTCCCTTTGAAATGCCATGCCACCTGGGATATATCCAGGGACGCCGGAACGATGTGAAGGCAAGGGGGGCAGATTTTCGTGAAAGGGCACTTTTGACTTGATATATACTAAGACATGTTTGCAAAACATCGGGAGTTGGACTTCGCCTAATCATGTTTTCTATTTATTGGATGATAGGGGTGTGAGGGGGTTCTCCGCCAGGCGATTGTGCTATTCTTGAAGCTCGATGACTGCATTTCTTGCGTTTTCTGAAGCAAATTCGTAAAAGAATTGCAGTATTGCACTGACATATCTGACAATTCGCTATTTCACTAAGGCAATCCTTTAAATCGAAAGGGCACCTTTGCCCCCCTTGCCCCTCCTGGTAAAGGGCAACGGGGGCGGCTGCCCCTCCTGTCCCCCCCCCAGTTCCGGCGTCCCTGGATATATCTATTCCTTGTAAATGTAATATTTTGGGCGAAAAAAATGTTCAAAGCGTTTTTATAACAAAGAGTGTCCTATGTATGCCTTTCGCTTCTGTATTCTGTTGTGATTTACTGTAATTTGTTCTGGTTTTCCTTGTAGTGGTTTTACCGATTTATCGACAAATACCAAGATGAAATTTAAATCAGTTTTCACCTTTTATGCAATGAATCTAACGACACCACAGTATTTCAGTGGGGAACAGCGCATTTTTTACTTCATTGACTGTATGTAGACGAAAGGTCACCCTATATATAAAGATTAAAAATCGTTATAAAGTAATATACGGTTAGCATTCCTCAAATTTGTGTCTCTCTGCATAAGTCCCCAGTGAACCCAAAGGTCGAAGTCGCGCAAATTTGGGTGCGGTTTCGTATTCATCTGATTTTTTCATTTCCATCGACCAATATATCTGACTCTATATCAAATATCACAACAGTTTAAATATGATATATGTAAACCATCTGTGCGCAAATATTTACGTATTTCTGCGAAAACATATTTTGCTGTGCGTGTTCAGACCTGCGCCTTGTGAACTCGTGGCTAAACCATTAAAGTGTTTTGTTTTATTTTGTTTTGTTTCGCTACAACTGTATTGGTAGTGTGGTTTTTGTATAAAAGTCGTGAGTATCTCTACGTATATTTGTAATTTTGCATCAACGCATTTAAGCGGTATATACGTGGTGCGTAGTGCACATTGCAAAGCCATTAGTTTTATTCTTAATCTTACCAAGCCTTTTACAAACACATTGTTTACATTTAATATAAAGTCTTTAGGCCTGTTTCAAACGTTGCGCTTCTGATGTGCCGAACGCATTAAAAACAGTAGATAATCAGCTGAAATGCCTCCGCAATATCTACTGTTTCTAATGCGTTCGGCAGATGAAAAGCGCGACGTTTGAAACAGGGCTCAGTGTTATTTAAAGTATAATTGTTGTTATACATTGATAGTACGCGAAGGCAATCTTTAATAAACCCTTTTGTAAAATGAATCTACATTTATATTGCAACTGGGTTAAACATCATAGTGTTCATTTAATGTATAGTCGGCATATAAGTATAGACACTGTCTTATTATTAAAATATCACGTTACACCAAGACGTCAA